GCCCCGCCCGCGCCCCCGCGCTGCCGCCTGGCAGGGCGGCGGTGCCGCGGGAGCTGCTCGGTGCCGCCGCCGCCCGGGAGGGAGGTTATGTAAGGGGGGAGGGAGGCGGCGGGAGGAGGAGCAGGACGGCTCTCGCCGCCGTGCAGCCGCCGTGCAGCCGCAGCCAGCCGGGGCCGGGGCGGCCGCATGTGCGAAGTGGGGACGCGGCCGCCGCTGGCCGCCGAGCGCGGGGAGCCGCCCGGGGGTGCCGCCGCCGCCGCCGAGAGGTGCCGAGACATGGGGTGAGTGTGCCGAGACGTGGGGTGAGCCCGCCGGGCCCCGGCCCCGCGTGGGCTCCGCGTCCCGAGCCGCGCGTGGGCGCCGCCTCCCGCCCCGGCCCCGCCGCAGGTGCGGAGCGGGGAGAGCGCCCCGGGAGCGCTGCCCTGAGCGCCGTTCTGTAACGTAATTAATCTCTGCCGCCCGCTCGGCAGCGAGCTCCCGCCCGAGCCGCCGCGGAGGAAGAGCACCGGCGGCGAAATCCCCGCTGGAAGGAGCGGGGAGGAGCTCGGGATGTCGCGGAGCGGGGCCGGGGCTCCGGTCCCTGGCCGGTCAGCGGCGGGATGTGCAGCGAGTTCATTGTCAGATGCTTCTGCGAGAGCTCTGGCTGCTGGAGGCACGCGTTAAACTTGCCTGAATTGTGCCAGGTGGTCCCTAATTTGTGTAGATATTTTTCCCTTTTAATTTTTTTTTTTTAACGTGCCAGAAGTCTCTGACCACTTGTGGTGGCCTCTTGGAGAATTCAGGTTAGTCTTTCCAAAAATTAGTCCTGCATTTTTGCTATCCTCTAACTTGTATGAGGGGACAAAAGCCAAATGCTGGCATTAGGGCAATTTGTGAACTAAATATCAGGGAACAGAGGTTAAGGTTGTGCCTTTGGCTTGAACTATATATAGGTTTGAGATCCTCTCGACCAGAATGTCTTGGGGGATTCCAAACCCACACATTTAATTTACTTTATTTTTATCCTATTATGTTCTCTTACACCTTTTCCTTGCCTCTCCTCACCCCCATGTGGCAAGGAATCGTTCTTCAGTTTCTGAGCTTCCTCTGCTGCTTTCAAATGTCCAAATTCCCGCTATAGATTTGCTAATTGTTGACGAAGTGATATAATTTGAGGCTATATGGATAAATAATGAATTAAAATGACGTGGATGTGTCCGAATTTGATACCCAGGAGTACTGAATAGAAGTACAGGTGGAGAGGGAGAAATAGGATCTAAGTGAGTATCTCCCCACGTTTCTCTTCAGGATTACAGGGACTCATGTGCTTCTTAATTATGCAAACTTTCGCTGGAAAATAAAAGAGAAACTCTCCTTGGGGTTGGAGAAAGAAGTATTGAAACTAGTTTGGAGCAGCACTGCCCTGCAGAGTCCAGGATGATCAGAAACATCCATCCATGGAAACTTGCCTCTGTCACTCTCCCTGGGTGTCTCTAAAGGCAGATGTGTTAGTTGCTGTCATTTTAACCATTTCCATACTGGTGGATCAGTTTAGCTGTGGCTTGGAGGGAAGTGAGTGGAAGGTCACCGTGCTCCTGTACCCTCTGTCACCCAGTTGGCGTTCTGGGCGCGGCGTGGTCCTGCTCTGCCTCCCGAGCTGCTCAAGCTGCGAAGGACTTTGGCTCCAAAGGCTTTTGAGAGCTCTGGCTGTGCTCCTGTCTGTGCTGCTCCATGCAGGCTTGTACAGGGAGCAGGCAAGTTCACTAGCCTAGTTCAATACCCTGATTTAATGTGTGTCTCAGTCATTTCAGTCTTACACTGGCGCACGTGAGTTCAAGATCCCAGTGTCATTCATTCCCCGGGTTTCAGCGTGGGTTGTACCTTCTCTTGCACTCTCTAGAGTTCAGACAAGGTGTTTGGTGAATATGCATTTTCCCTGTGTCTCACATGATTATCTTGCCATTCACCTTTCTGATCCGGAGAACTTGGAAGTATGTTTGTGATGGCATTACTGCAGCTGTGGCTTAGCACACCTGACACAGGAGCAGCCTCCCAGTTTTCTTTGGGTTCCATCTGTGCTGCAAATCCTTCACCTCTGCATGCTCGAGCTTGTCCTTCTGTGAAATGGGCACCTCTGTACTCGAGTGTCTTTGTGAAGCAGGTTGTGGTCAGAACACAGAGCTCAGTCATTCTTACTTGGATGAATGTATTTTGGCCCAGGCATTTGAGTGGGATTTGCTTCCTGGGCACACTTTGGCGTCACATATGGGGCATGTACTCCTAGAAATTGTGACAATTACTTGATTCTTAGCTCTTAAAATAGTTTTTCTTTTACTTTCCTTTTTTCTTTTTCCTGGGGGTGACCATTGCTAATGATTCATTTAAATGCTGCCTATGGATTTGGCAGTGACTGATCGTGCTATGAAACCTGATACAGCTACTTGAGCTTAGCAAAGCAAAGCTATTTAAATTGCTTATTAGCTGTGAGCTGAGCTATTTAAACTCTTGGTTTAGTTCAACTCACTAGGCAGCAATGTAGTGTCAAGTTTTGCAATTTACATGTTTTTAAAAAAACCTAATGCCTGTAATACAGGGGACATGAAAACAATGTTGTAAAAAAGTCACTGGAAAAAAAAATCTGCTCCAGTGTCCATGAAAGTCAATGTGAAAGTTGCTGCTGACTGAAAACCAGTGTATTTTGGTCAAGCCACTGTTAGGAATCTCACTGGACAAATGTCTACTTTAAAGGGAATTAATCTTTTCCCAAATCACTTCTTTCTTCTACCCAGCATATCTGATAGCTGCTGTTACCTCAATCCTCTCAGAGTTTAAACTTCAGCTATTTGAAAACCACAGTGTAACACATTTCCAGCTGTAGAAATCTGTGTCTGAAAATACCTCTTGCTTTGTCTCTTGCTGTTGCAAGCCAAGGGCTGACACAATCAAGGAAGTGTCTCTGATGTTAGTGGGCTGTACCTGCTCATCTAATAGCTGTGGTCTGGCTCAGTATGACCTCAGTTTAAGCACTCCAAGTTAAATTTACAGTTAAAAGGATGCTTGAGGTTTTGGTATTAGCTGATTTAAAAAGGTGTTGGATAGCTATTTCATCTGTGCCTAAATTCTTTTATTATTTTCATTTCTTTACTATCTTTGTATTTCCTTATCTATCCATTACAAATAATTTCTGTTATGAGGTGTGCGACAAGTGTCCAGTTTGGATTAGACCTGTAAATCTCTTCACTGCTGAAGCTGATGTTTATATTATCTGTTGGATTAAAACTCACCTGATTTAAATGCCCTCTAGCATTAAAATTGTGTTTTACTTCTGTTTTATAAATCGTATCAAAATGACAACCAGGCCCCTGAGTGTTAGAAATTATTGCAGAAAGCTGTACAACCGTGTAGAGGAGTGAGCTATAGAGGTTAATGGTGAACTAGCTCACAGCACACCTTTCTTTGGGCTGACATGAGATGTGTTCTCTTTGCTGCTTCCTCCGGGGCTGGTGGGGTAATTTAGTCCCCTCCAGCTGGGATCTGTCCATGCCTCTCCAGGTGAGCTTTGAGCCAAGCCCCAGGAGGTTTGGAAAATGCAAGTTTCCAAGCCTGGATCAGGCAATGAAGTAACCTCATCTTGAGGAGCTTGGTCTCTTGAACAAAACTCTGTTCCCCTGTGATATATTCATGGAAAGGTGCATGGGGCTCTAGTACTGAGGGTGGCCATATGTGATGTTTTTATTATGTACTGACATCTAAGAGATCAGGGAAAAGTCTGCCTTGCTCTCCTCCCTTCTCCTGCCAGCAGTACCAGCATCCATTGGCCAACATGTGGCTTTATTTGGAGAGACAAAACCTGATGTGAGGGTGAAGAATGGAGGAGATAAACAAAGGAGAAGATGTGATGAAGCTCGTGTTACAGGAAGACAGTAATTTTGGAGGGTGTTCACTTTCTGGTACCAGCAGTACTTTAGAAACCATGGTGATAAGCTGTGCCTGGGAAGCTCAGTGGCAGGGAATGGTGTTGTTGCAGAGGAAATTCACCTTGGCTTTCGTCCAGCTCCCACTGAAATCCATGGGAGTCTCTCACCAGCTCCCTCCAAAGTTTGGCCAGGCCATCTGTCTGCCAGGGAAGGGCAGACCCTGGGAGGGGCAGGCAGAGAATGGCACCTGGCTGTCCTTGCAGCCTGGGGTTCCTGAAAGCTGGTCTGGGACAAGAGTGTGCCTGAACACAGCTGAGTTGGTACCCTGAGCTCAGGGATTCTTTTTTTGAGATTTTAAGGTCAGCAGCTTCAGTTTGGTCCCCAGCATAGCTCAGGGGGGCAGATTATATCCAGCTGCTGGTGGTTTTGGTGTTCAAGGAAGGGGACTGAGATCTGATAGGTGCTGGGGCTGTTCATCTCATGTTTTTGAAGCAGCTGGCTGGGGGTGCTTGATTCTTCACAGCCTTGGTTCCTGACGTAGCTATTTCCATTGTGCAGGGTAGATATAAATGGATGTTATTCTGACTTGGAGAATTCTGTGCCTGTGTACAAATACAGGTGTCTGTACAAGAATCTGTGGAAAAATCGGGTCCAGAGAACTTTGTGTTCTGGAGCAGTATTTGGGTTCACTGAAATGATGGGCAAGCTCCACTGACCTCGATAGTGTGTATACCTTGCTTATGTTAAACTAATTTATGTAAGGTTAGAGGGGCAGGGAGCTTGGTGGGGTGGGTGGAAGAGAAAAGAAAGGACTAAGTAGCTAGGGCCTCATAATGATTTGTGGGTGTTTTGAGTTTTGGTGTGGCTGTATTCAGGTGAGTGAACAAACCTGTAACAGTGTTTTGTCCAAGTGACTTCGCCTCTCACAACTATGTGAGGATTCACTGCACTGCAGACACATGCACAAAACTGAATTTGTAAGGTCTGCTACAAATAGGTTCACCAAATTACGAGAGGAGAAATCTGCCAGAACCACAACTAGTTTGACTGTTCTGCTGTAAATTTCTCGGATATTTGCTCATGTAGAAAGAGTGGACAGAAAGAAAACTTGATGCCAAGAGTCATCATAGTTACATTGCTTTCAGCTGCTAACCTAATTACCACTGTTAATTTAATTATCACTTGAGAAAAATCTTATAAATAAAATATTCTTCTCAAAGCTGGGATGTCCCTCAAGCCCTTCTTTCTATTTGAAAAGAGAATGGTGAGTAGGTCTCCTGATAACAAAGGCATAATTTAAATTCTTTTTAAATCAAAAGATTCTTTTTAAATGTTAAAAAGAATCATTTGATGTTCAGTTCCTTTAAACTGAAACTTTTTTAACT